GTCCCCTGCATTTTTCACAAGGTTTTATGGTAGGAAAAGAGCTGAAACACACAGGTCCCTCCTGACCCCAGTGCTGGGGTGTCAGCAGAGCAGTGGATGGAGGAGGTGACAGAAAGTCCCTCCTCAGCCACACAGACCTGCACAAAACCACTCCCCAAATCCACCCATCCTGCTGGTCAGAGGCAGAAACCAGAGGAACTATTTCAATGTGACAATACTTGGTGGTGCAGTTCCTGAAAGTCACAGTGGAAATTTCTTTCAGGTTCTCACTCTTTTCCCCACGGCCCCAGCAAGAGCTGCTCTTGGTGAATCACTGCTGTGGTTTAAGATCCTCCACATCCAGGCTGGGCTTCCCATTTCTGTGGGAGCACAAATGGGTCTCTGGGGGAGAAATTCTGGAAGTGTTTCAGGGCTGTGGGTTGAAGCACGTGGAGCAAAGAGCAGAATTTCATCACCACCTCCAGCCCCTGCTGACTGGCTGGGTCTCAGCTCCCAAAGTGTCCCTTGCCTCGGTGACACAAAAGCTCCCTGCACCCTCCTCACCTGCAGCTGGCCACAGAGCCAACATGGGCTTTTAAATATCCTAATCTAGAGCTTATTTGCCTGATTCTGGGTGTCTGTAACATGCTCTGAGAATGACAGCACTTGGAGAAAGTCTGGGAATTTGAGGGAGGCACCCCAGGCTGCCATCTGATGGTATTCAGAACTCTCTGATACCTTTAGAAATCACAGAATCATGGAATGGTTGGGGTTGGAAGAAACCTTAAAGATCATCTCATTTCAATCCCATTGCCATTGCAGGGATAACTTCCACTAGATAATTTCTAAGAAGAAATATGGCCCAAAAGCCCTAAACTAAAGAGCTAATATTACTCAAGTACTCCAGCCATCAGATTAAAAACTACTTGGGACTCATACTGTGGACATCAATGTCTATTGCTCATCTGTGTCTCACTGATTCCTTGCTCCCAGCTCCACAAATCCACTGGCAGCAGCACTATTCCCACCAAGGAGAAGGTGTGGCAAACCTTAGAAGTTCCTCTGTGCTACACAGCAACTGAAATTTCAGAAGGATGCATCACAGCATTCATCTGAGAACAAACATATTTAGTTGGCATGGAAACAGCAAGTTGGGCTGAATGTGGTAAATATCCAGCAGTCATAAAAAAATCGAGCAAGCCTGGATAATAAACATTAGAAATGAAAACTGGCTGAATGCTTTTGAATCAAGGCTCTTTTACAATTATCACTCCTGTTTTCATTTGAACATGAGTGAAATCCACTTAAACTAAGCTGCTCCATTTTATGCCAAATACTTCTATAACATCCTCATTCAGATAACTCCTTTCTCCTTTTTTTATAATCTGTTTCAGGAAAAAGAAATTAAAGGGCTGAAAACCTCCATTGCTATTCTCCTTCATTTCCTCAGCAATATTAATGAATTGAACATAATTGATTTTCTGTCTCAGAATCTCCTTTAAAACTTTATTTATGACTTGACTGTTTGGAGGTATCCCTGTGGTTTGAATATCTATAGTGTTGCTACTTCAGTTGTTTGCAAACACTAGGAACTTTTTTCTCCTCTGTTATCCAAAATTTTATATTATAGTCAACCCAAATCTATGGCTAGAAACATTAGAACAAGGAATGAAAAGAAAAGGATTCTTTTGTGAGAAAATTCTTGTGTGCAATTCCAAAAAGACAGATTCTTGGAGCTTTTTAATAAACTGAGTTGGGGTGATTACCCTTCAAAAAAGAATCTGAAATGAAATGAATGCTAAAGAAATCTAGGTAGTATATTAAAAAAAATGATCACTACCATGATTTTTTATACAGATCCAAATTCAGCAAAACTTGTTACATGTGCCTGAATTCCTGGATTCATTAAGCTCCCAGTGATGTGTGTCATTTTTAATTACACACTCACAGGATGCAGAGCCTCCTGTATGAACAATGGAGATTTTTTACCTATGACTGACAAATGCACAAAGCCACAGGACTTAAGAAATAAAGTTTAGTAGGAAATCTTGTCTCACATTAGATCCAGGCACACATCAGAGACAACCAAGGGATAAATTCACTCCAGAACTACATGATACAGGAACACAATGGGATCACTGGAAAGGAAGCTGGTCCCACAGTTATGTAGGACTGAGATACAAGAAACTTCACTGCTGCTTTGCAAGGAAATGGTTTGGACACACCCAAATTTGCCAGAAACCTTCCCAGACTGCTTTAAGAGTCCTGTGGCCATATACATTCAACAATAACAATATATATAAAACTATATATTACAGTTTTCACATTTACTGCCAGTTTATCTCTTCCCATGAATATAGTTATTTATGGAACTAATTTTTAAAGGAAACATCCAACATTTTGACCTGAAGAAAGATGATACAGCTCTGGGACTCCACTCCTGAACTGCAGTATTACACTGGAAAACCAGGACAGAGACAGGACAACCTTTATGGAAAAGATAAAATTATTCAGGCCAGCACTTTTGAGAAATGTGATTGGAACCCATCATCCAGAGATGGTTGCCATATGGCACCACTGGTGAGACAACACAGACACAAAGTGACTGCACCGACCCACGCTGTAAAATGGGAGAGCAAAACTAAACAGGAGTAAACACGAGTTCATCCAAGAACACAAAGTATGGGAATGGAAAAGCTCCATGAAAACAACAGCTCCTCTCCCAGTGCAGCACCAGGCTCCCCTCCAGAGCAGCCCAGGGCTTGCTGACAGCCCAAAGTATTTTCTCCCCTTTATTTATAGGATAGTTTGTCTCTCTGGATGATTATAATAATGAAAGGTTAAGCCTGTGTGATCACCAGAGGGTCACTGTGACAAAGAGTTAAACTTTGTGGCTCTGTCAGTCACTCTTAAAGGCTGAAGAGTTATGAGGACATTGCTCTGGAAAAACGGCCAACATGGAGCACTGAGATACCACCCAACAAGCCATAACGAGAAACAGCTTTTTAGTTTTAATTAAAAGCACAACAAAATGTTTTTTCATGTCTCATTCATTTGTTTGTTGTTGTTATAGAATCAAAACACAAGATTTTTCCTTTTAATGAGAAACAGAAGCTCTTTAACCCTCGCTCCTCCTTATTTATAGATATGTAAAAGCTTGGAAAAGTGGATTTTGTAATGGCGCCAGCACAAATCTCCCTGTTTTATGCAATTTTGATTCACACAGTGTTTGGTAAAAGCAGAAAGCAAGTTACTGCCCTGAATATTTTAAGTCCTTGATCAGCTGATGAGTTGTTAACTACTGTTAACACTTGATGAACATGTTTGCAGGTAGCCTGGCCAAACCCAGTAACTGGGAACATGTCAGACCTGTCACTTTTGCATTTTTCTTCTGGAGAGATAAGCAGAACTAATGAATTAACCAGTCACAGAGGAGACAAGTAACAACTTCCAAAATGTTTGTCTGCAAAATAGACTGAAACCACCTAAACCAAACCAGCTTCAGTGGCTCCAGCTGCTTCAGAAAGTCCCAATGGATGAAAGGCAGACAAGACCATTGAGGAACTTGGATATGAGCACTACCAAACCTGCCAACACATCAAGCTCAAAGATGGACAGCACAGTGTGATTTAAATAACATTCCTGTTCCAGTATACTCAGGAACAGGATGTTACCATCTGAACTAGTCCTTCATTAATTAAGTCTGGACAGGAGAGTTCAGTAGGTTGGTTTGGAGCAGATGCTCATGTAGGAGGAAACCTTGAAGGCACCCTGTGAATGTGCAGCCTTCAACCTCTGTATTTCATGAGTCACTTTTTATTTCTTCTTCTGGATCCTTCTCAAAACGGGTCAGGAAAAAAAATGAAGCAAAATGGCAGTGGCAGAGACTAAAGAAAAACATAAAAAAAGAAAAAAAATTGGAAGAGGACATCCCTCACAGCATGCAGCCAGTGCTGTTCCCTGGGAGGGACAACCATGCTTTAAAGAGCTGATTTTCCTCCTTCTTTTCCAGGAGACTCTGAAGCCAAAATGCAATGCTTGCAGGCCAGCTCACTCACTTCACCAAAGTCCTCCAGTGCTGCAGGCACTGCAGCTCAGGATGAGCCTGGCCTAACATCTGGGTTTGGGAGGCAGAGGGGGCAGAAGGGAACTGCTCATCACTGGCACTCCAGAGAGGAAATACATCAGTTAAACACCAAGGGTGACAGAGAACTCCCATGTGCCAGTAGGATGGCAAAACTGAGGAAAACATATTTGAAATAAATAATTATTAATCTTCTATACCCAGCCCAAGTGATTATTCCTGCAGGTAGAGAGTTAGAAATGCTTCATGTAGGACATACGCTGTTGATTCTGTTTACTCAGCACCAAATAAAGTTCTCAAATGCTTCAAATCCTGATTTGTATTAGGAATACATGAATTCCTGTCTGATTCAGGCATTCATCACCTGCATATTCTCCTGAATATTTCAATTTAATCTGAATGCAGATTGACTTTCTGTTCCAACACTGTCTGTAAACACCACACTCTATTTTGCTCAAAGCACACTAAATAATCTCTGACTTCACTGTAAGTGTCCAGAAAAAATTTAGCACTATTAATCATCTGAAACTGTTTACAGACATGTTTGGACAATGAATGCAGAAGATCAGGACTAAAGATTATTTTTAGCTGTTATTGTCCAATTTTACTTCTCTTCATACAAACCATTAAAGAACAGGTTCAAATAGTCTCAGAAACCTTTATTAAAACTCTACAGTCAGTTGCAAACAGTCAGTTCAAAATAAATGCATCATTTAACAGCTAGAATAGCTGAAATACCAACTTGCAATAGAGAGCAGCAGATAAGTATTTGCCTGAAGGGTTCAGACAGTTTAATTCTCTTTTATTACCAACAAAACAGCAAAGAAAGCTAGCTGAGAATTTTGCAGGAAAATATGTGCTTTTGCTTTGAAGGAAGAGATTATTTTTAACCATTGCACCTCCTTGCTCAAGGGGTGGGGACAGCACCCAGCAGTACCTGCTCCTGGGCCTTCAGCTCGTTGCGCTGGAGCCTCCTCTGAGCATCATAAACCTGCCCACGGTAATTCTCCACCTCGTCCTGCAAGGCCTGGAACAACAGCAAGGGATGCAAAACACACGTGAGAAACATGGCATGGCAGCAAAACTTCCAGGTCACGTCTTCCACGCGCTGGGGAAGGGCCTGGAGCACTGTGAGTCCAGCTGGACTTGGTGCTGAGGCATGACAGAGGCAGTCTGGCCACTCAGAAAAGTTGCTTTGCACAGGTGGGACCATTGACTGAACAAGAGTAAAAGTCTTATCTTGTTATAGGCTACTCATCCTAAAAATGTATTATTTTTATATCTTCTCATAGAACATCCATCCTAAAAATGTAAGAAATACTCTCAAAGGTTGGAAGTACAATGGAAATATTGCAACATTTGCATTTGCAAATGTCCCAGGTTTTTGTTGTTGTCCTATCTGCACAACCTGAGCTTCCTAGGAGCAGTTTTGCAGTGTAGCAAGAGTTTTTTTTCTTTAAGCCAGAATAATCCTCTCTCTGGAAAACAATGTCCGGAATTTGGAGTGGAAATGTATTCCATATTACTGAAGTGGGATGCTGGCCGAGATGAGGGGCTCCCCTCCTGCCCTGTAGTCAAATCTAGCACGTGATTTACAAATGAAATATAAATGGCAATAAATAAAAGGAATAATGTGATCGTGTCACTTTACCACAACTACCCAATCCTTATTTAGTTCAGAAGTAATCACTCCTAAACCAAGCTCGTAACATGCATCGACAAATTTATTTTGTCATGATTGTTCTCCTTATACATTTATTTTTATTCCAGCAGTCACTCAGAGCCTTGATCTTTTTGTTACAGGCTTAACAAAGGAACAGCGTGCCCCAAGGAACTGATAGTCTGTGTTATTTCTAACAGATACACACCAAACAAACAATACAAAGTTTCAAAGATTTTTTTCTGTTTGTTTTGAAAGTTTCCTCCTCATTGTTGGATGTTTGAATACACGCTTAACATTTACTTACACATTTACTAAAAGCTTAGGGATGTTGTCAGCTTGAATAAAGGCATTGTTAACTGCAAGTGCTGACTCCAAGCAAAGTGCACAATGTGGATGGGGGATTGACACCAACACAGAGGCGGCTGTGGCTGCAGAAAGGGAATATTTTGAGTTATCTTTTGTATGGCAGGAAATTGGGGCATTGATACCCATCAGAAAAGCAGCACGGGGCTGGACCCGAGAAGGGGCTCGTGCTGCAAAAGCCACTGAAGGAGCCTCCAGTGCTGCTTTTAGAAAAGCTGAGCTGCACAGAGGCCTTCTGCAGAGCATCCTGCAATTACAGAATCATTTAGGTTGGAAAAGACCTCCCAGGTCATCGAGTCCACCTCTGACCAACCCTACAATGGTCACTAAATGGTATCACGAAATGCCACGTTCACTTGTTTTTTGAACACCTCAGGGATGGTGACTCCACCACTTCCCTGGGCAGCTCCAGTTCGTGACCACACTTTCAGTGAAGAAATTTTTCTTAATATCCAACCTAAACCTCACTTGGTGCCCGTCTGTCCCTTCAGAGGAGAGACCAACAGCCCCACGGACTCGGGGAGCTTTGCAGGACCTGCCATATGGTTTATGTTTGCTTCCAGCAGCCCAGGGTACCTGTGCACAACTCAGGATCATTAAAAGTCCTCGTGGTGCAAAGATTTAACAGCAAAAATGCCTTGCTCTTTTCCACAGCACCGAAATCCTGCACTCTCCAATAATTTACAGGATAAAATTGCTATTGAGATAAGATAAGAGGACTACTTATGATAGATCTTGAACGCTGTTTTGAAGTGATGCCAGGCATTAACTTTAAAGTCTTATAGCTGTAAGACTGTTACATGTTCTGATGCCAAAAATTGTAACCAGACCCAAGCATGAACTTCAAATCTGCCCAGGGACTTTTATGCTATCAGAGCTTCTGAGAAATGTTGAAATCCAGGCTTTGAATACATAACTCTTCTTCAATACTCAACAAGTCTTGCAGTACCAGGAATTTGCATTAATATAATGAAATATATGTGGGAATTATATGTGAACTGTAGGCTTTTTGTTTGCTTTCTGTACATCTATCTTGTGAGGTAAAACACAAACAAACATAAAAGCTAAAATGAACAGTGTAGATATGCAACAAGGAGCAGGGTCATTCCACATACCGGGAAGATCACCAAAAACCCAATTAATTAGACAAAAATCCTGCCATAACCCCAAAGTGTCCATTCATAAACAAGCCAGGATGACTCTCAGGAACATTCCTGAAGCACATTTTGGATAAACTACAAAGTATGACCCATCTTCTCCTGCTCTTTCAGGATCAGCTTTTCCAGCCCAAATGGTGAAAAACAAGGAGGGAAGAAACCTCATCACGCATCACTCATCCTTCCCTTGTGCTCAAGAGCAAGTCTGACCCTTTCACAGGACTTTGAAGCTGGCCAAGAGATAGCATTTAAATACATGTGAGTCCATATATTTGTGTTTGTGCCAGAAAACAGATTTCTATCACCCCCATCTGCAGGTCCTGAGTACAAAATTGGATCTCAAGCTGTTCCTGCACAGGACAGCAGCTCCATGGTGGCAAAGAGAACTGGTGTCCTGCTCATTCCTTCCTTCCCTTCTCCATTTTTACACCTACTCTTTACAACAACTTCTTCTGCAGAGGTTAAAACGAGAGGTTCCTTTAAATCTGAGGGCTTGCAATGCATCTGAAAGTCATTTAATTTGGGAAATTCAGATAACACAGCCTTTGTTAGGTTCACCTACTCCAGATAGTGTTTGCCAGCACGGAGCACACATGTTTTATTTCATTAGGAAAGCAGAAAATGTCTTAAATTTAAATTTAGAAAGAAGGTATTTTTACTATAGCATGTAAGTACAGCAAACTAACAACTCTTCCAGTTATCCATTCACCATTTCTCCAAACCAGAATTTACTGCATGAACTCCCAGATTTTTCCAATCACATCATAACTGGCTCTTGGCAGGTTTTGTATTGGGATGGCAAAAAAACAACTCAGCTAACTCCTTGGATCAATCACAAATACCTTTACTGGACCCTTTTTGGACTATTCCTGTGCTGTATAAATTCCATGAGTAATTAATGTTCATTTGAGTACTCCAGATATTGTATCAGCACAATGGCAAAAAAAATAAAACCAAAAGTTCAGCATTTGATCAAAGTCGTGCCAGAATGAAAAAGTAACACCAAAATCTCATGGTTGCTGTAGATTCCTGCATGTGATTAACCCTGAAAACAGCAATTAGAAGTAGGCGAGTTTGTTGCCCGTGATTTTAATTTTCTAGGAGGGATCATGAGAGATGTCATGAATAATGCACCTTTAAGATCACACTGGAAATTCTCTCTGTAGTCAAAAAGCCTCACATGCAGTGGCCAGAGCCTGAATGCTGATGGCAATCCCTGAAGCTACCAGAACCTCAGATCTTTCTCTGAATCAGACAGGGAAGCTTTTGCCATGTAGAACACTCTTAAAAACAGCAGAGGACTTACCCCAGGTGCACCCCAGAACATCTCTTTTGTAAAATTAAACAATGTTTTGTTTTGCTTAGAAATGCAGTTTTAATTCTGCTTCAAAGTGTCACAATTTGCCCAAAGAGCAGCAGGGCCTATGATTAATAACTGCCGAGATGAAGAAAAAGGGATTAAAAATAAAAATCCAGGCCAATTTTTAAGCGTCAGAGGCTTTTTCCCCCTGAACAGAAAACAAAACTTAACTTATTTAGTTAAATTTTTCCAAGTTCGGATGAATTCCCATCCCTCATCTGTGCTAAGCTGACTTGCATCACTCTTATAAAGACAATATTTTTTTTTTCAGTTAAACGGGCTTTCAAATGCCATGTAAACATGTTTGCTGTTGAATGTCTACACCATACCTGACCTTGGAAGTGCTTTGTGTTGGCCAGAGAACAAAGAAATCAAATGTTTTGCTTTCCAGCCCAGATATCCTACACTTTGAAAAGCTCTTAAAAATGTAAATGAGATAATAAGCCCCAATGCAACAATGTGGGTGAACTACGGCTGCAGAAAGGGAAAACTCATTTGATTTATTTCTAAAAACGGAAAGGATCCTAAAATAAAATCATATTGTTTGGGTCTCAGACAGCACTGAGAGGCAGGGGAAGGAGGGAAGGGAAAGGTAACGGCTTTGAGACGGCGCTGCTGGAAGAGCCCAGGCAGATTTTGGGACCTGCAGTGGAGTTTGTGCAGGAGCCCTTCCCAGCCACTGTGACCAGAGCCATGATGTGGAAGGAGAAAGGAACCCCTGAGCTGCATTTCTGGGTAGGCACCTTTTATTCCCCCTATTATCCCACTGAGGATGGGTTATCTCCAGAAAAACATTTAATGGAGTTTATTTCAGCCCCAAATGGAATTTATTTCATCCCAAAATGGAGGTTATTTCAGCCCCAAATGAAGTTTATTTCAGCCCAAAGTAGAGTTTATTTCAGCCCCAAATGAAGTTCATTTTAGCCCAAAGTAGAGTTTATTTCAGCCCCAAAAGGAATTTCTTTCAGCCCCAAATGAAGTTCATTTCAGCCCCAAATGAAGTTTATTTCAGCCCCAAAAGGAATTTATTTCAGCCCCAAATGAATTTTATTTCAGCCCAAAGTAGAGTTTATTTCAGTCCCAAATGGAATTTATTTCGGCCCAAAATGGAGGTTATTTCAGCCCCAAACAGAGGTTATTTCAGCCCCAAATAGAATTTATTTCAGCCCAAAGTGGAGTTTATTTCAGCCCCATTAGAATTTATTTCAGCCCCAAATAGAATTTATTTCAGCCCAAAGTGGAGTTTATTTCAGCCCCAAATGGAGGTTATTTCAGCCCCAACTGAGTTTATTTCAGCCCCAAATAGAATTTATTTCAGCCCCAAACTGAGGTTATTTCAGTCCCAAATGAAGTTTATTTCAGCAAGCCCCAAATAGAATTTATTTCAGCCCAAAATGGAGCTTATTGCAGCCCCAAATGGAGTTTATTTCAGCCCAAAATGGAGGTTATTTCAGCCCCAAAGGAGCAGCAGATGTGGGGTTGCT